AGAAAGAAAGAAAGAAAATGGCAGATTCAAGAGGTAGAATAGCCCAATCTTTTTATCTGCTATATTTTAAAGAAACAACTACCCTGACAAATTAGTCACAGGAGTACCCCAAATAGGAACAACACATAGACTGTGGTTAACCCAAATTTTTAATTTGTCTGGTTGGGGAACCTGAAAAGCTACTTTAAAATAATATTAATAACTATAGTCTGGCCCCCCAAAAAAGTCATATGAGAACTACACAACCAGAATTCATAGAGCACATTGCTTTTTGACCAGCAAGAACAGCAAAAGCAGGTGAGAATTGAGTCATCTCACTGTGTAGTCCAGGCTGTCCTGGAGCTCACAGTGTAGCCCAGGCTGGGGCTGAGTTTATGGCAGTCTTCCAGACACAGCCTTCTGGCTGTTGGTATTATAGTTTCACTATTTCAGATAAATTCTTTTTGATAATTTTTGGTTCTTTGACAAAGAAATAACCTTGTCTTTTGTTGCATTCATTTGTCATAGTTTATTTATTGATTGATTGATACAGTTCATACTTGTAGTGTTCAGGGGCAGCAAGGCATGCGATATCTGGGATCGAACTCAGGACCTTGCACTTGCCAGGCAGACACGTATGCCGCTGAGCTATCTCCAAGCCCTATCACAGTCAAAGTCTACCTGGTAACTCCGTTCTCTGAAGTTCTTTTATGTCTTTTCTACCATCTATTCACTTTCTTTAATTTATAAGCACATTATTCTACGTCTTCAAATGTTAGTTACTTCTATCTAAGATCCAGACATTATATATGAAGAATTATAGAGATAATTTAAAGTTTAGAACATAATTTTATTCTGGAGTAAATTTTTATTTGGTTCTAGGAAAAGGGTAGGGGATTTGTGGCCTCAGGTCACCTTAATCCAGTCATAGATTAAAGTTGTTCAAAGCTGGTTTTCTGCCCTTGTTACAGTTAATCTACTTATAACTGATCATTACTCTCAGGTATGATGCTTTGGGATCCCTTCCTGAAGCCCCGCACCAAAGTTGCTGGGCCCTCCCTCGCAGACCCTGAGCACCTCTACATGCTGTTCCAGTTCTGTAGGTTTGTAGGAAGTTCTATGTAAATTTAGATTATATCTCTAGGTGGAAAAACAGTTAGAAAAAAGTACTAGACTCACTTGTATGAGTTTCTGTCTCCCAGATTTTTACCCTGGAGTTAGGCCTGTCCTGATACCACTCCAATACCCTCTAACAGATTATATATAATGGCATGTATTTTTATTTACATGTTTATTTCCCTTTATATATTTATTTCCCTTTATAAATTTATTTCCCTTTACAAATTTGCCTTTATATATTTATTTCTCTCTATATTTTTTTCTGAACTCTCAGTGAGAAGATCGATTTCAAAGTTGGACTGTTCCTTCCTTCACGCAGAACAGACAAAGAGGGAGTTGTCACTGCATAATAACAACTTCCCTAAGAACCCCAGAAAAGCAACTGACCTCTGCCACTGGTGAAATGAGTGCACCTATCATGCAGGGCGTGCAAAGGCTAAACGCAGCAACTACCCGAAGCGCTTGGTAAGCTTTACAACGATCCTGTTTCCCTCTTTGTTCCAGACTCTGGAAAGCACAAAGCCACATTGTGATCCTCCTAACAGTTCATGACCCAGAACCTTATGCCACGTCCTTGATGGGACAATCTTGCCTCAACTTCGTTGTACTGTGTGTGCTCCAAGCGTTTCCTCTACTTACCTTAAACCTTGCAACACTACATGTATCTTTATAAGCCTATCTAAATCACTGGTATACTGGAGAAATAAAGAAGCAAATCAAAAATGTCAGTAGAATTATTTATACTTTCTAAATATAAGCCATACAATAAAGAGTCTGACACGGGTACAGCTCTGAGCCACTTCCCCAGGACAGCAGAAGTTCCAGGACATTGCCTCCTTGTGCCACACTAGTTGGCATGGCTCGGCCTTTACTATTTCTTGCTTATCTTCTTTTAGAAAATTTTATCTAATAGCCACATAAATGACTTTTCTTAGTCACAATGAGGCTTATATTGTTGGGCAGAGACTTGTCCTACTAACCTACTAAATCTCTCTCTTTTTTTAAAAAAAATCTCTTTCTATAACTGTAATACCTACAGCTTCTAGAAAAGCGAATGCCTTGAGTTCTTTTTGAGCAGCTTGACTGAGCTATAACTGGCTTGCAATAAACTGCATGTATTTGAATTATATAATTCAATAAGTTCTGGTGTAAGATTATACCTATAATACCTTATCACCATTGAGACAAGGAACATAGCCCCATAGCTTGTTTATCCATTCATTCACTGATGGATTTAGGTTGTGTTCAATTGTTGGCAATTAAAAATGAAGCTAGGATACTCATGTACAAGTCTATGTATAGATTCATATTTTCTTTCCTCTTGGATAAATAGAATGTTTAGATCATATGGACAGTTCATTTAACTTAAAAAAAACACTCAAGTATTTTCTAAAGTGGTTGTACAATTTTATCTGTATAAGACAGTATCAATCTTCATAGCACTTGGTACAGTCAGCCTTTTTGGGGGGGTTGTATTTTAGGGAAGGGCCTACAGGGTGTTCAGTATCTCACTACTAGATTGGACTCAGTGATCTGCCTGTTTACAGCCTCCCAAGAGCTGGGATTACAGGTCCGCGCCACCACATCCAGTCTCAATTGCCGTCTCAGCATGCTCTGGGGGTGGGGCCAACATGGCAGGCCGAGGGATCGAACCCCTGGGCCCTGGGTCTGCTTGCAGGCACTTTAATCCACTGAGTTATTTGGCCAGCCCCCAGTCAGTCTTTTTAATTCTAGCTATTCTAATAGGAATATGTGGTATCTCATTGTGGTTTTAATTTACTTTTACTAATCACAAGTGATGGTGAACATCTTTTTGTGTTTTTTGACATCTATTTATCATCTTTGGTATCTATTCAAATTTTTTGCCAAAAAAATATTTTTTTCCTTAGGTGTCTAAGAGCACAAATATTGACATTGATGAGATCCAATATATCAATTTGTTCCCATGGAATTACTTTTGGTGTTATATCTAACATATCCTTGACTAAGCCAAAGTGATAATGATTTTCAAAATTCTCAGGTATAGATTATACATGTTTGATACATTTTGGTAGTCCAGCCCACTTAGTTAAGTTTTAAGTATGGAGTGAGCTAAGACTATCCAATTTATGATAGGACCAATTCTTGAAAAGGCTATTTTATCTCTACTGAATTACTTTGTATTTGTATTGAAAACCAACTGTCCGTGTACATGTGGGTCTTTTTCAGGGTTTCCTGTTCTTTCTATTGATCCATTTCTGTATCTTCACATCAATATCATACAG